TTCGTCACATTTACATTGTTGTGTTGCCTGCCTGGGATGGGCGGAGTCAGACCCATCAATCAATATTTAGTAAACAAAAAGTTGTGCGAAACAGGCGATAAATATAAATTTAGTGGCGCAGCGATGAGCAGTGCGTAGTTTTGAAAATCGCGTGTTGGCGAGCGAGGAGAACAAAGGAAATTCAAAAATGGATATTGAAGATGATTACAAGATTCTGAAATCAGTTTCGGAGACGAAGGACATTCAGCAGTTGAGATTGATTGAGACTCCAATTGAAATATTGTTCTACAATGCCATCGAGACTTCAGATGTTTCTGTTGTCCAATTTTTGCTCAAGTTTGTAAATGTTTACCTAAAATTACAATAAAATAAAATTACACAATGGTTATTCAAAAAACAACAGATGTTTTCAATTGCTTTGTTTGTTTCCCACCTTACAAACAAAGGATTTTTTTGTTTTAATTTGTTGATGATATGTATATAAAATTATAAATGTATTATAATTATTATATTATAATTATATAATATAATTATTATAATTTAATTGATTGATCAAATAAATATACAAGGTAGGACTAGACTTATTAACATACATTGCATTATTTAATAATTAGTGATTAATAATTGATGATTGACTAATTTAGTAGTTTATTAAATAAAGTTCAAAAATATAGTTCAAAAAATAGCAAAAGGATGAGGAAGAAAACAATTAATTAAATGGGAAATTTATGGAATTATTAAAAATTAAAGTAACAGCAGGAGCTAGGAAGTTGCATGTTACATATAGAGTCTATCTAGAATTCTAGACAATATATAGAGAGTCAGTTATTAAAATTGTTAGAAAAAAAGAATTAGGAAACAATTCTTATCAACAAATTTGTTTTTAACCACTAATTTATATTTTTTTTAAATATTTCAATTGAGTTAATAAATAATCAAATAAAATGCTTAGCCACCTTCTTTTCCTTTCATTTTAATACTTTCCTTTTAAATTAATATTAATTAAATTTGGAATTGAGTTTATTTAGATTATTATAATATAAACTATAAAGCAATTAATTAATTTTCAAAAACAGTAATAGTTTAACAATTTAATTAAAAGGAGATCTTTTTCATACAAGAATGTATAAATTTAAAGCATACATGAATAAATTGAAGAAAGAAGATTATTATTGTAAACAATTTTAAATTGTTCATTGACACAATGCCCATTCAAATTGACATATGAATATTATTAACAGTTGACCAATTATTTTGAAACAGTGGTGGATGGTGTTTGTAATGGGATGTTTCAGATTTTAAAATGTCAATAAATCATGTATGATGACATATGAATGAACTTTATTTAATCTGTTGTTCATTCAAAGACTTTCATAACTTTGTTTTTACACAAAATATTCATCAACACATACATAGGGCTGGCTCAAATCAACAACAATACACGTTTAGACGGCATTTTCCCCGAGATCGGGGGTTGCCGTTTGGCTACCTATGATGAAACCGAAATACCTCTCGACTCCATCCACATCTGTCACTCGCCTCAGTATCACGCAACCCCGCTTTCACCCTGTCCTTCTCCATCCCAATCGCGGACGACCCCTTCCTACCACTCCTTCAACCTCGAACTCCAACGCTCGCCTAATCCCGACCCTTTCATCCCTTCTCAACACATGTCCATACCACCGCAATCTCGATCTCCTTATCAATGTCACAATGTCCTCATTCAGTCCCATCATTGACATCAGCTCTGTACTACTCCTCCTATCCTTCACTTTAACCCCACACATCATCCTCACCATAGCTCTTTCAGCCCTCTGCAGTACACTTTCCTCCTCTCTCCTCAACACCCAAGTTTCACCACCATATATCATCGCTGCTCTCACACATGCTTTATATACCCTCCCTTTCATCTTCACTGACCATTTCTTTCCACACAATACCCCACCCAGTTCCCTAAATTTCATCCATCCCACACGAACTCTAGCCGTAACTGCGCTCAAACATCCTCCATCCGCATTCAGCTTATCCCCTAAGTAAACAAAGCTTTCCACTCTTTCAATACCATCACTCAACCCCGTCCTTGCGTCCGTCCTATTAATCACACCATGAACACATTTCTTACATCTGAACGTGCCTTCCACCTTTTTCAGTGCCCCCCTCACACCACTACATCTCTTATGCACCCATTTCTGACATCCTATACACAATACCGAGTTAGCCTTCACTCTCCTATCACATACCCCACAGGGGTCTATTTTACTTATCACTCGTTCCCCACCTTCCTCACTCACCATTACCTTCGTCTCACCAATATTAACTTTTAACCCTTTCTTTTCAATAACACTTTTCCATCTGTCAAATTTTAACTGCAATTCTTCCATGCTATCAGCCATCAAGACTAAATCATCTGCATACAAAATCTCAAATAACAACCCCTCCATTATGTTTCCACACACAACATCCATCACAATTGCAAACAGAAACGGTGATAACACTGATCCTTGATGCACTCCTACCTTAACACTAAAAGCGTCCGACATCCCCCTTCCAACCCTCACCTTTGTCTTTGCCCCTTCATACAGCTGCATCACAGCTTTAACAAGTCTCTCATTCACTCCTTTCTTCCTCAACGCCCATTCAATGACCTTCCTCGGTACTCGATCAAAAGCCTTTTCTAGATCCACAAAACACATGTACAATCTTCGTTTCTTCTTTCTATAATTCTCCGCTTCCTCCGTCATGTCCCTTCTCCATACCCTAAACCTCTCCTTCTTGACTTCCAAAACCTGCAACCAAACAATGTTACTCTTAGCAGCTCTTCCCATAACCACAATTCAATTTACCAAACAATTTCAGTATAAAGTTAGTGAATTTGAAGTCGGTGACACTGGATGGACGAAGGCCAATCCACATAGCAGCACAGTATGGAGATCTGACCATCATAAAGTTGATAGTCAACGCTGGCTCTCCACTCAACGTCATTGACAACATGGGCTCGACACCTCTGCATCTAACATTGGAGGCGGGCTACGATGATGCAGCTATGTATTTCGTTAAAGAAGGTCTTTTTTGTCTAGAATGGATTATTTAAAGGAATATTTTATGGAAAAATCACTTGTAACACTGGGATAGTTTAGTTGTTGTCTGCTTAAAATTGTGTTCACTTTTCAAAATTGGTAACTTTATGGCTATTAAGTTAGCAATAATTTTAATTTTGCTCGGCTTTTTTTATCTGGCCAGCTTATTGTTTTCATCATAAAAAGTTAAGCAATTCAGTGTTACTTTTTAAAATAATTTATTTTGCATGCAACTGTTTTTTGATTGATTCATCATTTTTATCTTTGAATTCTGGTTAAGTATGGTGTAAATATTGTTATGAACTATTTTTATAATAATAATTGAGCAATTAGTTGTAATGACTCAGTCACACAAACGTTCACAAACAATTATTTAACATCTCATCATTCAAGGAGCCACCATCAATCGCCCCTTCAAGTACCACATGGGCGAATCACCCATCCACATGGCAGCCCAATTAGGGATGGATCGGGTCCTCGACTGCATGCTGAAGAGGGGTGGCAACCCTAATTTGCAGGAGAAGACAGGGCTTACCCCGCTCCACATGGCTGTCCAATACAGGCATTGTAGTACCTCACTGATTCTCTGCCAGGCTGGAGCGTATGTAGATATACCAGATAGGAATGGTTCGTATTATTCGTGGTCTTCATCATTACCTTCATGTTTCTCTGTTGTTATTTGAAGTTTAAATTTTCATTTTTGTTTATATTATCATATTTTGTCATATTTTTTGCTCATTTATTTGTATGGTCATATTTTTTTCTTCATTCATGAGGTTATTCTAATTAGTTTCCTTCAAAAATTTCATTTTTTATTTTGTGTGTGTGTGTGTGTGTGTGTGTGTGTGTGTGTGTAATTGTATAGTTATGTGTATGTTATACATAATTCACATACACTGCATGTATAATATAGCGCGTATATATATATATACATATATATTTATATATAATAGCAAGCCTACTTCAACTCTATCAAAACAATCTCAAGGTCTTTTGATGCTTGCACATGTTTGTACTACTACTAAGCCATTTTATGATACACTATGCAACACCATACATTTATCTTTCTGTTTTCAATGTAAACAAAAGTTGTTTTCAAGTTCTTCAGTATGATACAACTTGATGATTTATTTCTATATTCTGCTACCTGCCAGGCAAGTCACCATTCTTCATGGCGCTGATGCAAATGTCGTGTGACATGGTCAGGACACTTCTGCCGTTTGTTCACAAGTTGAATTCAGTGGACGTCGACGGCAGGACGCCACTGCACTACATCGCCAGTGCAAGGACGTCGTCCAACATCAACGATATTGTCGACCTGCTGCTTGATTTCGGGGTGGATGTTACCAAATGTGATAAGGTTGTCTATGTGTTTAGAAATATTTTTTATCATTGAGAATCTGTTGAAAGTTATTCTGCTATGTTTATTTATGCTGCCTTTAAAGAAATTCTGTATCTTTGACCTATATTCTTTGAAAATTTTCAAGCTTTGTTTCTTTCTTTCTCCATACTTTTGATAACAATGCTATTTTATCTGAGCTTCGAAATATTTAGCATCTAATAAATCATTTTAAACCTACTTTTTCGAATGTATTTGTTGCTATTCTCTTCTTACATCTTCAAAAATTATTTTAGATTTACTTAAAGATGTAAGATGTTTTGAGTCATAAATAATTATAATAATTATTTGAATTCTAGATGAATAGTTGAAACATGAATAATAATAATGTGTGTAATGTTGGAAGGACGGAAGGACTGCCCTCCACGAAGCAGCTGCATCTGGCAATGTTGTTGTTGCTGAAAAACTGCTGGACAGAGGAGCTCAATTGAACATTGTTGATCAGGTGTGCATCATCTTTTCTCTCTTGCATCATGTTTATTCCTCATCATCATCGTATCACGTTCTTAATTCTGTATTCTTCCTTGTTTACAATTTTCAAATATGATCAATTTCATGTGAGATTTATTATGATTTTTGTTTATTTGAGAGTCAGGCAGGACTAAAAGGGTGATTAAGACTCTGGTTCATTTCATGTATCTCTAGTAGAATATTATGTTTGAAAAACTTATATCCGAAAAAGTTAATAGTACATATTATTTTTGTTAGACTCTTCTCAGTATCTTGCGAATGTACATTTTTAGATGATGAAGTATTTTTAAATTTCACGGTAGATAATTGGTGAGACGCCATTGCTTGTGGCATCAGCGTACAATCGGATTAACGTCATGAAAATACTCCTGTCCTATGGAGCCGATCCAAACATTTGTGACAAAAATTTAAAATCACCTCTACACAAAGTTCAAGTTTGTCAAAGTGAATATCTTTCACCAGTTTTAAGCTTCACTATTTTTATTTTTATAATTTTTCTCATTTATTTGTTGGTGATTAAACAATAATGATAAATCTGTCCAAACGACTAGTACAGCAGAAGGTGGACATTGTGATGGTTTGTTGTAGTTAGTTATCCTATTAAATTAAATGGAAGATTATTCCTGCTCAGTCTAACTTGAGGCTATCCAGGGGCTCCATTCTAATGAAATGGAACGAATTACTTCAAATATACCCTGCACAGTGTAACCTACTTTATCGCTTCTTCAATAGAAATTATTAAATTATAAGAATTAAAACGCAAAAGATAATTTTAAAAAATTTTGTACAAAAATTTGTAAATTTACAGATAATTATGAACTTTTTCGAAATTGATCAAGTATCACATTAGAAGTTAAATTTCTAACAATATAAAAATTATGGTTAAAATAGAATTTTAAAAAAGTTAAGTTGAATAACGCTTAAAGGGTCCTACATAAAACGAGCATGAGCAGAAACTGCAGTGTAGAATGTTGTTTTAAAAATAATTGAATAATTGGATATAGAAAAACAAAAAAAGTTGTTACTCTGTTTTTAAATGCCAAACAACTGAATAGACTGGTCCATTTAAAAATTGTGACATACATGTTCCATATGAAATTGGATTGATGCTTTCAACATTCAAACACATCAGCATAACTCAATCATTGCTCCAGTCAATTTCACTCTTGTGGTGTTACATTTGCCAACACCTGTGCACGATCTCGTGTTTCATTTTGAATCATCTTCATGGAATCATATTTCATTTCATTTATCATAACACCACCAGTTAGCAGCTATGTTTTATAGTTTTGTTTTTGACAATTTAATTTGTTTACTATTAACTGTTAGTCTTTTTCTGACAAAATAACTAAATATATTTAGTTAAAATGTTTAACATTAAATCAACATTTGTATCTCACCGTCGCTTTTTTATAATTTATTACAAAACTAACGTTCGATAGAAATGTAACAGTTCTATAAATATTGTGCGGCGGGAATAAGGTTGCATTGATTTTGAACAGATTCCACATCATTAGGCTCTAAAGTTGCATGCTCGCAGCTGTTGCTGGAGGCAGGTGCCAAAGTGAATGCCTGCGACAACAGAGGCTGCTCAGTACTTGATGAGTGCATCTTCTCTTATGGGATGACCAAGGATCAATCCTACCTGATGGCCATCCTGCCCACTCTCGTCCAGGCTGGTCTCACGTTGAGGCCTCCTTCTCGAGGGTTCGTCTGTTTCTCTTTCAAATAAAATTGTCTAAACATTCATTAGATCATGAAACTGCAGTTGAGATAAGAAAGTTCGTTAAAATTTGAGATTGTATAACTTAAAAAATATTCAAGTGCGTTTAATTTGTGTTTTTTAGTTTACGCTTACTTTAAAGTTCTACATTAGTGAAAATTTGGTCTATATGTTAAAATGAATAAATTATGCAATGAACAGGATGAGCAGAATCTTGCAGAACTCTCCTCTCTGTTGTCTGGCATGGAATGGTGAGCTGGAAGCCACCAAGTTCCTTATCGATTCTGGATGGGATTTAAATGGAGAGACCTGGATCAGATTGCCAGGCAAAACTCAGGAGGTGTCCCACTAGTATTGGATCTTTATTTAATTATATTTTTTTTCCTTTAATAATATTTGTTCTCTGTTTAATATTTTTTCTTTGTTTCACAATTTTTTTATTTGCTAATTATTTTGAACACCATGCATTTTTAATTATTATATTCATATTTCATTGAGGATGGTTACAGTGATAATAAAGAAATGTAGATGAAATAAATTCAAGTCTGATCAAAATTCAAAATTTGTTCATTGAACAGATAGAAGCATTCTTTCAAATCCTCCGTGAAATCTCGCACCAGCCATGCAGTCTGCAGCGAATATGTCGTACAGCCATCAGGGAGTACCTGACTAATTTGACGCAAGATACAGACATCACGTCGTCCGTCATGTTCCTGAACTTGCCATGGATCCTCAAACCCTACATTCTTTGTAATGTTACGCTGGACTCGCTCTTCCATTGACCGATTGTTATCTATCTGCTGTTTTATTTAAATTTGTTTGGCTTTATTGTTGAATTATCACCTTCCACACTTACTTTATTTTCACTTTTTAATTTGTTTATTTTTCTATAAAATTGACTACCGCTTTATGATGTTTTCTTTCTATTACATTTTTTTACAGATTTTTTGAAACAAAATTTTGATCTAGTCTTTCATATATATTTTTTGATTTTCACTGAAACTTATTCAATCTTGTTTTTTTTTTCTTTTGGATCAACTTATTTAGCAATCAAAAAATATCTCTGGGTAGGCCATTTATTTTCATTTTTTTATTCTATTTTTTCAACGAAAGTAAAAAATTTTTAGTCATCGTCTTTTATCAATATGCTTTTTTATTGTGCTCAGTGGCTTTGTGTGATTTTCAGAACTACGTAGTACGAGCGATGATGAACATTTGTTGCAATCATATGCAAGCATTCAGACGTGTACTGCTTTCATCTGTGTGACTATCTTCATGTAATAATTATAGACTTTTTGATATGCACTCTTGTGCATTAATTAATATTATATGTGTACAAACATGTATGTCGTATATGTAGTGTATATGTATATACACATAAATGATGTTAAACTATAACTTATACCTAAAAAATTATTCTTCTGTTTTTTTGTTGTTATCAATAATGTGCTTGATTATTCAGACGTGATCGAATGACTATCATTGTTTTCTGTTTTCATTTGCATTCCCTGTTTACAGATCAGGACAATCCATCGATAAGTTAGGAATATCAAGTGAAGGAACTGAAGAAAGATTAATTTCAAACTCATTTTATTCTGTTTTGTGTTATTATGTTACGCAATAAAACAGTATGGACTATTGCTCACGCCCTTGCAGGCTGACAGCTTCATCGACAGTTCTTTAAGAAGATTAAATATTATAACTACATATTATATAAACTCTCACACTACATTGTTTTTTCAATTATATCAAATATTTTTCGTTATATATTAATTAGATCAAGATATTTACATCACTAATTGTTTTGAATAGTTGGTTTTTTATCACTATCATGGGTACTTATTTTGTTTTGTTTTTATTATTTTGAAAAAGGATATACATGTACAAGTGTCTCTTGATTAATTATCTGGCAAATGAACATTATATATGTTCCTGTCTAAACCGACAACGATTGAAAAGCTTCATAACGTCAGTCTTTTCGTTTTGGAAAAAAAATTGAAAAACGTTCAAGACATGTCCCTGACGACAGTCCTCAATCTGAAAACAAAAAAGTCGACAGTCACTCCATATTTCTCCACCATGTCTCATCAACTATAGAACAGTTCGACATCAGGTGAATCCTTTTTTTAGGGGGGACAGGGCGCATGCTGTTTGAGTCTATCTTAAGTGGCGTGCAAAATTTTAGACATGTAGAGTGAAATAGTGTGGGAAATGGAATTTTTTTGTTTGAGGGATGGTATTTTAATTCTGTTCAATCAACCAATGATCTTATTTTTAAGTCGAGATTTCCGATGAGTTCAACACTGCTCCCCGATGATTTTAAAAACAGATGATTTTAGAGATCGATTAAGAACTTCGTAAATAACAAAGATAGAAAATAGGGTGGAGTTTCAGAGAACCCACTAACAATTTTTGTTGCAATCGTACACAAATAATATACAATTTGTGATCGGGTATCATGTAACTTCATAAAATTTTATAACACGTCAAGCAACGCGTGTAATATGCCTAGGTTTACATTAATTCTGACGTTCCGCTATTTTACTCTGATTAATTAAATGTTTCTCCTATATACTAAACATTTTAACCGCAGGGCAAATAAATTTATTAATATTATATTTGTATATGTATCAAAAAACCGCTTCTGTGTGTCAAAACGTTTTTAACCTTAAAAATCGAACATGGCTATCGGTCGCGTTACTAAGAACTAAGAATCTGTTGGCTTTATATTGAAATAGTTGAAAGTATAACACTGATTATCGGAATTTTAAAAAATAATGGGCTACCCAGGCTGGTATGGAAGTAGAGTTTTCGTCAAACAATTGCGTTGATAAATTCAGTGCAAAGGCACAACACACTCGCAAGCGAATTCTGATAGGCCTGTATAATTTAATACAATTTTAGAATCTCTTTTTTTCCAGAAAATTTAATTAGTTGTTTGATAGCACAAAAAATCACTCAGTTTCATTTTTATTTTTAATAAAACCTCTACTTATTTTATTTATTTATTGATAACATTCCTTTACTGTGATCTTTATAATATTTGTATAAATTATTCCATGATACGTGAGGTTACGTTCATAATATTTGAAGCACAATATAAAACAATAAAAAGAAAAATGTGGTAATAAATATTAAGTTGCAAGAAGCAGTCAAAAAATTTGCGTGAAGTAGAGAAGTTGGTTCAAGTTGTTTATACATTAAGTTGAAATTTTAATTATATCAGTGCATCGAAAAACTAACAGCCATCGACTTAACATACATTGATTGTATGTTACTTATAGTTAACAATTGAGTAAAGTTAATTTGAACGTGCTACGTCAACATGTTTATTTGCTAGATGTTTTGAGTGAGGGTAATGATTTGCAAACATATTTGTAATTATGTTTAGAAAGATTTTTATTAGTATTATGTGAATATACTAGTTTTTACTTTCGATAATAAGTGCCTATTTATTATCAAATAAATGAACCAATACAATGCATTACAAATTTTTATTAAGTCTCAAAACCATCAATGTATACCAGTAATGTGTACCCAACAGGTACACATTACTGCACAAGCTTACATATACAAAATCGCATAAACCATACACACATGCACCGATTCAATTTATTTATACGTTATAAATCTGTATAATGATGATTGAAAACGGCAAATAATGAATATTATTAACAGTCTATTTCGACTCAGTCAACCGGTTGACTGATCACTTGGCACAAGCCGGTTCGCTGCAGTGATGCGGTGTTTTCTGGTTCAAAAACCGCATAAGTTATTCAATTATTGCTTTATATAAGATTTTCAGTTTATCTACCCATCATATTGGTATTCAGCAGTATGTGCGTTGCAACTGACTTTAATTAACGTAAATTATTTATACTTAACATTTTTAAATAATAAAATTAACTGACGGATTGATCCATATATTATGGAAAATTTTAGTTTTTAGTAATATTTCTGAAAAACACAATGATATTTATGCATGTAAATAAATAAATACGATGTACTAACATTATTAACTAATATTTCGTTCATGTTTATTTCAAAAGTTCTTGTTAACAATTGAAGACTAGCAAGTTAGTAGAATTGTTTAAAAGTTCACCAATTCTTTTGTTATTCAACGCTCAATAGTTTGCAAGTCACTTAACAATGTATTGCGATTCAAAATTTCGATATGAAACATTAAAAGTTTTAATGAACTCTGCTCAATAAAATTTTTATTCGGTCTGAATTTATGAAGTTTAAATAGTTGATAAGAAGTTGTTATAATGAAAAATATCTTAAAATGTTCTTTAGCAATAATTAGCCGCATATTAAGTTGTAATTCCTCATGTTTTCTGAGTTATATCTTTGACAAGAAAGTATTCACCTGATCAAACGTACCGTAATTGAAAGACAAATAAATTTTCAAATGGATTACTAAATTATTCGACAATATGGTGAATCATTTTTTATACAGATTAGAATATTATGTTAATATGTGCATTTTTTCAGATTCAAGAATATCACTACCACAGAAACTCAAGCAGAAAGATATGCCTGCCAACGTGAAGCTAGGAGTTCTCGTGTACATTTTTTGTGTGTTAGCGTTCTGCAGCGCATCAAACAATGAAACAACAAACAGCTCAGTTGAACTCGCTCATTCCACTCCGACCATACAAACCACCGTTCCAATTCCAAGTATGCATCAGCTTTTCATTGCATTCGCTCATTGATACGTACAGGATTAGCTGCATTATTGCGTTATGCATTGTTTAATGAATTAACAATTTTCCAAAAAGTTTTTATTCAAGCTGCTCTACTTTAGGGCCAAGTTCCAGCTTACAAAAATTTTCTTTCGTTGATCGACTATTGAAAAAATTAGGCTTAAATAAAACATCTCTCTAAGTTTACAATATATTTTCTGTAGAATAACTGAACTAAAAACAAGAGGTTAATTATTGTTGTTATTTTTAAACGAGTGGTTTGAGCTTATAAAAATTCAAAATAATGGCTTGCTATAAATTATTTTAACACAAATTGTTTGTTGACTTGCAGTTCCAAAGAATGCACTCTGTGAAAACGCAACCGGATCAATTCATAAATGTTTCGATGACTTTGCGACATATTACAAACTCAATGTTTCTTACGTTGACAGTTCCATGGTGAATCACCTTATTTCAAGTTATTGGTATGCAATTATTTTTATTACTACAATGAATATAATTAATAACATTATTATATTGGTTTAATTATTGAAGACGGTTTTCTAAAAAAAAGGTCGAAGATGTCATAATTTTGTTCATTCAATTAATTTATTTGAATGATTAAATTAGCAACGAGAGCGTGGCATACGACTGCCTCTACGAAGAAACGCTGAACAAGTCTGCCTGTTCAACAGTGGCCAACTTAGCACAGGCCAACAAGACGTTCAACTACGCATTCAGATGTTCATCAGATGGACTTAAAAGTAAATTTCTTCTGTCCGTGATAATAAATTTATTCTATAACATCACCAGTATTAACGGACCGCGAGAAACTTTTTATGAAAGTTTCAAAATATCGTTGGATCATTTAAATACATCAACCAACATGATTTCCAGTTATGCAAGTTTCAACTCGCAACTGCTCAGCCAATGTTTTGGAGCACTATACGTACACGAATGTCCTCCTTTGTGGGTTCGTCAATAAATAAATAATAAATTAACTTTAATTTAAGTTTTTCTCTGTTTTTAATTATTTGAACAGTTTAATATTTTTAAAACCAGATTAACAAGTTCATTAACTTGTAAGAATCGAACTGCAGGTGGAATGCTTGCCTCTTTTGAAGTTTTAAAGCCGCTTAATGATAAATGCTTCCCAACAACTAGTAAATAATTTTGTTTTCAAAACATAGTAATTGTATAACTTGCAATAAAGTGTTAAATTTCACTTTCCAACAGCCCCCAAAGACATCCCACTCCTACCAAATCCAGTTTCTCCAGAGGGCATCACGGCCATCGTAGTCATCGTATGCCTAACAATAATTGTTATACTAGCTGGATTTTTCTTCTGGCCGAAATGTCACAACCCGAAAGCAGGATGGTTCCCAAAGAAGAAATCCAAATATTCACCTGACGTAAAAACAGTTGCATATCCCAATATCGCCGTAGGAACTGCACCTGGAAACTCCAAGGCATAAAAATTTAAAAGATATACCTATTTATTTTATAACACCAACATTAAAATTAATATTTATGTTTGTAACAATGAGATGCTAATTTGCATGAAATTTCAACTATTTATTTGATTTAAATCAACTCAATTGAAGGGATATTATTATTATTATTATTATTTGTTCTTTTTTAACGGCATGGCACGGCATGATGGTGCCGGCTATGGTGTGCCCAACTGGAAGGCCTATTGGTAGAGTGCTCAATAATGGTATTTGACAATATATTTTATTGATTTAAAACACATTTACTGTTTTAAAACTAATAGTTATTTTAAATTTGAAAGCACTTAAGTGAAATAACGCTTGGAAAATATTTTTTGTAAATACATGTTCCCATTACTGCCATATTTCTTCAATGTTAATTAATGAACGAATATTAAATTGTATACAAAGTAGTTACATGTATTATACATTTGATAACTTTGAATTTGTGCTCAATTGCGGATTTTAAACTTTAGCAAAAAGTAATAAATAATAGAACAGATACAAAAATAAAAAAAAATTTTAATACGACTGATGATGCACAGAATTCTTCGCTTTGCTATTTTTTTGTAAAATTTTAAATAAGGCCAACGTTACACAAATAAATCCTTAAACATCATGTGCAAATTTTAAAAGATTAATTTTGTTTATTTTTTAGAGGAATGCATCCATCTTGTATGGAAGAGGAAAATGGAATATTTATATATTTAAATACATTCATTCGTTGTGGCAATTAACTTTTTGATGGCTTTTAACCTAGGACAAACTAGACAGTAAATCACGAATGAAAATTAAACAAAAATTCAATATGAATATTCCAATAAATTCATAAATGCATTGCATTAATTCCCATTTCATTATACTCGTGAGATTCCTCATTCCTCTCCATAGCTTGTGAAGAATGCATTACAAGAATTCACGCAAGAATGCATGCATGCTACATCACCTCTGGATTCCAAATTTTTCATCGTTCAAATTTTCGTGACACCTTGTGACAAGGGGAGGGGTTAAAGCTTATGTGATATTCCATTTTGTTTTGTCCTTTTCCATTTCTATAGTGACACTCAATAAAAATGTTGCTAGGTAGTAGTAATGCTAAAATATTTTTATCAAAAAAGGTTTTAAAGTTTTATATATTTTTGGTACGCATCAAACAAATTTGCTTCTTTCATGCATTTTATCAATTTATTCATGAAATTATAAACGTGCATCATTTGTGGAGTTAATGTAGTTGATTTTAATTTTCAAACATTATCTTTGATATGCATAAAACATTTAAAATTTTTAGCAAATAACTGACATTTTTCACAAAGGGGGGGTCAAAAAATTGTGACATACTTTTCATAGAGCGGTTTAACAATTTTTGACCGCTTTTGTCTGAGATAGAGGGAAGTCAAAAAAGCGCAAAAAAGCGTGATAATTATAAAAAAGAATGGCGAGTAAAAATGAAGATCAATTAACTACTTTTATAAAAGCCCCTAAACCCATTACGGTGATATTGCTATTAAATGGCTTGGCTGAACCTGAAAAATCAACTTTAATTTAAATTTTATCTCTAAACTGAATGCATACTCTTTTATGTGATACAGCTTTTAAAAGATTAATTGCATCACAATTTCAAATATCTACTAGCTTTCCTTTAAACACACTCAATAGCAATTTTATCAGTAAGTACCTAAAGGGTCGGAGATCACGCCTCGCTTTCCTGCAAAGTCAGCATCAAATGATACAACTATATATTAAGGTCTTATAGATAGGAAGGTAGTGTATATCAACATTTATCGTGTATATTAAACCTATTTGTGTTTGAAAAATTATAATTTCTGCATTTTTTCAACTTAACCACTTTGTACAGCATTTTTCGTAAGCATTAAAGAAGAAGAAATAAAATAATAATTTGTGTATGTAATGAATATGATATAAATAAAAGTATAGTTTGTATGCATATGTGTTAGTATGATGTACATAGTACATTGTAACGTTACATTAAATGACCTAGCCACCATCGTACCGTTCGTTGCTCACGAGTCCGTCTTCACTAACGTTACGTTTTTATTTTGTTTCTCAGCGTTGTGAATTTGAGAGATACTGAATTCGCGTTTAAAATTTAACGTCAAATTTTATTCATATAGAATATATAAACCTGACTGCTGATAGCTTCAAATCGTGCCCTCGCCAATTCAGATGTGCTGTAGATAAATTTGTGAAACATGCAAAGACGAATAATTATTCCCAGTGCAAACAGCAACATTAACAACAACAACATCATCAATGACCACCACGCAGTTGTTAACGAAAATAGTATTACAGATCGGAAAAGTAGCGAGTACTTAACGCAGCTGTTGAACGATAAAAAAGCTCTCTTGGGACTGCCAGTAGTTTTCCAACACCTGGATAAAATTCTGGATGAAGGTCATGCCTTTTTCTTTTCTAATTTTCTGCTCTCTATAATATATAAAAATTATTGTGGAAGGAATGAAAAATGTAAACATAAAATATAATTTTACTATCAAATATCGTAATAAAATAACTATAAAATAAATAAAGAATGCCCTAACATTCCTAGAATAGAAATTATAAAAATAAAATAAGAAGGCAACACATACACTACCAAAGTTGAGCTTTATGTTCTTATGCCTTGGGATATTTTTTTTACTTTAGTAGTGAATTTAAATAATTTTAATTTGAGATTTTGGAAATTACAAATTATAATTTGATAATATTTTTATAATAATTTTGTTCAACTTGTAACTTGAGCCTTATGAAGCTTTTTTAAGGTTTATAAAATATAAATGTTTAAATTTTGAAAGTAAGTTAACCACTGATTAACTATTAATTACAGTATAATTTTAATTAGATCAACATTTTTTGGAAAAATGAATTCTGGTTAATTGATAATGCTAACTAAATTCCATAAATTATCTCTTTTCTTTGGTATATTTTTTATATTTCTTTTTAATAAATGCGCTTTATCGGTTAAAATTTTAAAAATTTTACATATTTCCATTTTTAACTTTTTCACTGAGGCAGATACAGAACTGCTTCAATTCAATTAGTGTACTCTTAAATTTTTTTATTGTCATCTGATTTTTAATGTTACTTTCAACGCTCAAAAGGTTTCTTGTTTTATGTTCTGGCCATCACTGCATTATACACTCAATTGGTTTTAAGTTTTTCAGTTTTGTACAGACAGTGTTTGATTTGTGTTATTGAAAAGCATTGGCACAACCCTAACCCTCCTACTAATCGAACTAAATGCTCAACAAAGATGTGACACAAAGTTTATAAAATAAAAATGATAAATTTACATCATCTGCAGAAATTAATAAAGTTCGTAGCCACCTATTCAATGTTTGCTCCAATAAAGAATCCTTGAGTCTGCCGGAACCTGATGGACCTACAGTCACGCTGACTGAAAAATTGCCTGTTCCAATCTCCACCTACCCAGATGTTAGTAAAAAAGTGATCATGATGCTCATTAATTGTCTGATTATTTTTTTTTCACTTGACGAAGTATTATGTAAAAGCAATAAAAATATTTGTTTCCAACAGTCATTTGTTTGAAGTCAGTGAAAAAAAGGTATCGTATCATTGTTTTATCGTGTAGAATGTGAATAAACTTAACATAGTTGCGTCTCATAATACTTAATTCATTGTATTTATTGGAGGCCTCATCACAGACTTTATTAACATTTTTTAATTTATTTTTTAAAATGGATCGTAAATATTTTATTAAATTACATTAACAAATTTTTTAATGAATATGTTGCATTAATCAATCACACTTTGTTTAAATAACCAATTGGAAATTATTCAGTCAATTTTCACTAATCTAACACATTGGCTTACTTGTAAATGGCTAAATGATTTACCTGCCTTAATAAGCATCAAATATTAACATTTGTTAAGTTTTAATTAAAACCAACTTTACTTTCACCATAAATATTTTCATATTGTAATCAACTGTAAATCAGTTTCACAACAATTGAACATCATTCTAAATTGCATGATACTCTAAGATATTTTATACAAAAGTTGACTACATTTTTTGGCTCTTTTTGCTCTTCAAAATACATGAGAGATTTTAGATACTTTAAAATCATGATTATAGTTATGCTTATGTATATATGGTTGATATAAGAATAAGTTTAACTTAGTTTTCTAAATAAATTAGGTAAGTAACTTAACTTAGAAACATTTAAAAAAAACTTTGACTTAATTTATTATAAAGGATCATGCAGACACTCACCACAATACATTAATTATTCAATTAAATAATTAAACGATTTATTTGTGCATTTAACAAATCTGACACCTGCTTTCAATTAGTTTCCATCCACAGTATATGAAATTTATTGTTTTAGTTAGTCTTGGGTATTTATCTTTTTATTTGGTGATGTATGCTTTCCTTTGTAACATAAACTTAGACTGAATATATTTAAAAAAAACAAAACGTGGCACAAATGACTTTTTACCAAAATGTGTTGCGTGTGTTTTTATGTTCTTGTATGTGATTAATATATAGTAATATGGTAATGTATGTAAAACTTTGGTAATGTGCATCGTAAACGTGTATCCTGATTACATGTGTGATAGTATTTGTGAATTTGTATCTGTCATGATATTTGCTTATATTTTCTCTATTTTCTCTATGCATTTGCTGATATATATATATATATATATATATATATATATATATATATATGTATCTATGTTTGCTGATATGTGTGTATGTGTGATTTTGTGCATATGTGTGTGTATGTGTTGATAGTCTTCAGAGAGTAAGATAACACATTCCCTGCCAATGAAGATTGATTGACATTATTCAATCAGTTGTTGCTGTTTACATGTAGCCGCCTCAGCCAATACACTTAAAAGAACATTTAACACTTTTTAGCACATTTGATCACACATACATACGCACAAGATCATTTGTACAGATGCTATCCAGATACCTTGGTTGCATGCGAAATCGCACACGCACCGCACACATGTACACACACACAGACACACGCATGCACACACACAGACACTTATATATATATATATATAACTTAATATATATATATACCAGTACTCACAAAAGCACGCACTACACATACCTAGATTGCACATATGTATAAATAGAAGTGGACTCCAAACATACAAACATTCAAACTCAAATATACTCCTACAAGAACACAAGTATTAACAAACACTAAAAATGCACAAAGTCAGCAAAAAAGGGCAGACATTCAGAGGCACAGAAACGTTCATGTAAGCTCATACAAACAGTAAATTCACACATACACACATACTCCAGCGCACCAACACAGCAACAACTACACCCATCATAACATAACTTATCATTGAGTGTAAGTATGATAGTTTCACACATGTTCTCAGTCTTCCATTGCAATGTTGAGTGAAGACTACATGTAGAACTCTGGTAATGCATATAGTACTTTTGTAATACGCTTTGTAAACGTGTTACTTTGTATGTGTACATGCGTGTGTGTATAGGCTAGTCTGTGTGCGTGCGTGTGTGTGTATGCTGATTTGGCTGGATCTGGAGTTGGTTGGGTAGAGTATATAAATATGGCCTCTATGATATTACTTATATAGCTCACATGATTTTTAAAAGACATCGCGTTAACTTGAGTTTGACGTTTAAGCTAGTCAATGCATAGCTGAATTAGCTAACAATGTTATTTATGATCGGACCTTAATGGTTTCATTACATTGCTAATATTGTAGAACTGATTGAATTTTTACTTCAGTTTAATAATGCTTTAAATAACATTCGACAGGCATATGGTCTTAAATATTTAGCTTTTTCCAACGTTGTTGATGATATGCGTTATTATTATATTTTATTGGGATGCTTTTGTTCTGTCACTTGTTTGTGCACATATGCCGTTGTTCAATTTGTTCAACTCGTTCAAGAGCACAAAAGTCTTTCATCTTAAAACTCTTCAAACACTACACCAATTTGTTTCCACGTGCCATGAATCAATCTATGAACTGAACATGCAATAAAGGCGTGCCAACGTGTAATTACTATCTTCTGCAGTGTGCTCATGTAATTAGTTGCATCTCTAATTTTCATATTCAGTCTAATTTAAGGCCACATATGAATGAACAATGAATATAAAACAACACACACACGTAGGAGAAAATCACATACACGCTATCAACAATTGAGGCGCGCACAAGAATAAATGCATATTTAGCTAAAAAAAACATTTCATAACAAGTGAATGTCCTACGCATAAACTGCAAACATATTCCGTGCTGAAAAACAAACACGCATCTAACAACATGACCAAACAACAAACAGCACGCTCGCAGCAACAAACAATATGTTGAACACTCAAACAATTGATGCTCCACGCACGCTACTAATCACTTTCTACACACAACAACAAAACAATTCACACGCACGAACATATACACGCACGCGCACGCAGTCAAAAACTTTCTACACGCACAACAAAGAAAGACAATTTCTGTCCACACAGTAAGGGATTTTTTCATTTCGTTTGCATTTTTGTTTGTGTTTGCACATAAACCTAACGATTTATGTGCAAGCACACGCATGCTCACACTTAATAAACAAGCAGTTTATTCACACTCACCAAAACAATTCACACATACAATACAATACAGCAGAAAAAGGATTAATACATATAGAGCCAAGGAGCATCTTCCACGCACAACAAACAATGCACTTATCTGCATGAACGCTCAGTTCACTTACATACTAAGATTTTCTGGGGGCAGCTGATGTTCGAGTTGTCGGAAATTGGGGTTTTCCAGCACATGATCGGTCGAAGCATGTGTTACAAATAAATAATTTTTTCACAATTACTTGATTGGCAGTCTGACGAAATAAAAGAAAAGGTTTCTTTATGTGTTGATGAGAATTGTTCAGTCTTATGATTTTTCGTATTTTTAATATAATGAAATGACCGAAAATTAGTTGCAAAATTCTCTTGTTTTTTTTTTGTTTGGTTTAGTTTTTTCAACAGTGGATGTGTAAATTGTTTGTTGATTAGCAGAAGCATACACGCATCTCCATCATTGTGTTGTGTTTAAAATTCGACTCTTTAGTTGAACTTTTTGATTTATGTTGTTTCTGAGTTCTTCTTCTAAATATGCGTTCATGTATCATTGTTCATATATCCCTTTCTTGCATGCATAGATCGTTGCGTTGTCATTTCTTCTGAATGCCTTCATGTACTTTTAATCATGATTTGAAATATTTTAGTAACATCATTAAAATCCAGGCTTAGTTTAATCTGTCGCGTTCAAATTTGACTAAACCGAATTATTGTCTTGAATAATGAACGAATGTATGAGAATCTTGTCTTCAAGCAGCTAGCGGCAAGTTACATGTTTTAAAGTCTTTCTTCCGAAGATTTGCTGTTGAAAGTTGCTGAAAAACCTTTTTTGTGTGTTTATGTTAATGATGTGTTCATCGTTTACTCACACCATTGAACAAATTTTTTGTTACAAACATCTGCTGTTTGTTTAACTAAGGGTCCTCTAGCTAGAATTAGAATCTTAATTATTTGGTTATATTAATAAAAGTAATATTCTTTAAATAAAAATATTATGGTTGCGGTGATAACCATGTCGCGGTTGATAGCAATTCCTCTGAAGTTAGAAACTGTGGAGATGTTCTAGTAGAAAGGATTTATGACGTGTCATTCCTTATAATAGCTAAAAACTGTTCATATGTAACGTGCATACTGAGATCTTTAACTTTGTTGTTTATTGCAACCAATGTTTGCTGAAACATATTTTTACAAACCTAACATTCAGTGTACTTATTAAGTGTTTTTTGGTTATGAAAGGCTCATTGTAAACGTTTAACATAGTTGATGAACGCAACGCTGATGTATGCAAGCATTTCAAAGTCGGTTGTTTATAATTTTTGCACTATGTTCTCATCATTAATTCATGGTTGAAATTAACATTTAACTATTCACATTTGAAACATTAGCACTCACTAACGCCACAACTTCTTTTTTATTTACTATAATTCCAGTGAAATCTATACTGGCTGGCTAGCTTCGATGCTTTTTTCAGACAATTTAAGATTGAATCCTCAATCATTTGACTACAGTTCAATTTTGTTGGTCGCATCTTGGGACCTCGTGGCATGACAGCCAAGCAGCTGGAGCAGGATACAGGCTGCAAAATCCTGGTCAGGGGAAGGGGATCGATGAGGGACAAAGCAAAGGTAACGTATAATATGCTTTGTTAATGTTTTCACTCTTAGTAACAATATCCAATACTAAACGGCCATACAACGAGAGTGCATGCTTTCAAAATAACCAGGCAATGACGCATTCAACTGAACAGCGCGATAACACAGCACTTCATAAACACCACATGACTGCATAATAACAACAACAGGAGGAACAAAATCGTGATAAACCAAACTGGGAGCACTTGAAGGAGGACTTGCACGTTCTCATCACCGTTGAGGACACAGAGAACAGAGCAAGGATGAAGTTGGATCGAGCTGTTAAGGAAGTTAAGAAGCTGCTTGTTCCCGCTGTAAGTGATTTTGCATGCTGGTTGGGCTGACTGGTCAATTGGCTGATTGGTTGAATTATGTACGATGTTTTGATATGCGATCTCTCATTGATCTATGGTAATAAATTCATTTTTGAAATATTTTTTAATTTTCTATTGATTCATTGATTTCGTTATTTATTGTTTTATGGATTTTATTCATAAACAATGAAGCATGGTGGGTCAATTAGTTTCAACAATATACACTTAGTTTTCATTCAATTCAATTGTTTGTTTTTTTTTGTTTTAATTTTATTTATTACTAAAATTATTTTGATCCTGCATTTTTGAATTAAATATTTAATTTGAAGGACTTGTCAGAATTTTGTAACACGCTGTGAAATTTTTATCTAGCTTGTTATATTTTTAAATTATATGCTTGCTTAATTTCTTTTTTCATGTAAAGAGCCAAACAATACCTACCAGCTATGTTAATGGGATGAGCTCTGTATTCAGTTTAGTTAAGTTATTTACCAGCAGTTATAAACGGTTTAAGAAGGAATGTGCCTGTCACAGCTGGAAGTCATTCATTTCATATTTTTCGAGTGTTGTTGCTTACACCTTGTCAACTGCATCTTTCCTCCTCTACTATGAATTTGCACCAAACATCGAAGATTCCATTTGAAATTTTACAAAAACCGTTGGAGTGTGAAATGGTTTTTTTTATACTCAGCACTTCTTCTCTTCTTCGGTACTTTCCACTGTTACCCACGTTTATTTTCTTTTATTTACCTGTGAGGGTTGGCACTCGTCACCCACTCATTCATCACTTTCCCTTTTTTTGGCGTGCTAGACCCTCCACTCATTCATCACTTTGCAGTAAAAAATGTACAAATATGTTTGTTGTGATTTCAATCTCTCTTATGTAAACAATGGCATGTATTGGTTGCAGTACTCTAGTACATGGTGCTTGTGTTGTCGGTTTAAAATTATATTTATGTTAGTATATATATATATATATATATATATATATATATATATATATATATATATATATATATATATATATTGTTATATTTATTGTTTGTTATTTATTTAGTAATCTATTTATTTTTGTAACTGCTTAACATTTATTTAGAACAATAACAATTTGATTAATGATCTATATTTTTGTATAAATAATTAGTATAAAATTTCAACGTTAATAATGATCATTCTTCAATATACTATATTTAATGAAAGTAAATAATAATTGGTTGAAACTTTGATTTATTATTGGTACAAAAGTTTAACACTGCTTGCTGCAAATACATTTGAATGATGAACATTTGAAAGCTGAACATGATATTCATAATGGTTAAGTGCCACCATAAACTAAGTGTTTAATAACTACATGATGACATATGATGACTTGTTTACATTATGTTCTTGCATTGTTTCCATTTGTTTATGTATTTAAAATGTACACCAGCCACTCTTGCTTCTTTTCTGCGTATTTATTTATCAAGGTCTCTTTTTTTATTATGTTATAAATATTGTCTGATTTTCCCAATGAGTTATATATTGCAACACGAAATAAGATTACATGATTTATGAAACGTCATAAAAGATTGGAAATTTTTTGTATAATTTTGTGCAGAGAAAAAGTTAAGAATTATTTTTTGTTTATTTTCACTTCTTAATTTTAATCTGAATGAGTTGCAAGCTAGTCCAGTGTGTAATTTCAATTTCACAAACTGTCTGGCCTCTTCAATTGTAGTTACACGGTGATTGTTGTGTGACGCATTATGCAACAAAATAAAAATGAACATATGCTGTTTTCTACTGCATCATTCGCACATGTCTGTCCAATCGTTTTGTTCGATTGTATTTGTACGCAACGTAATCATCAATCACCTACAATATTTTTTGGATTGATTCAAATAGTCTCAAAATTTTGCGCTGATTTTTTAATTTTACTATGTGCTACGTTAACATTTGTTAAAAGGACGCAATTTTTCTTTTTATAGTATCTTCGTTGTTTTATAGATATTTCATGTTTTCTTCTAGTCTAATTAGGATGTTTTGAATAAACTTCCTACTGAAAGGCACGGAATGTTTAAGCAGTTAAGATAATTTTCAGACTAGTTCAGTTTTAAAAATACTCTGCATAAGCATTTAGTAAGTCATATACAACATTCATATACAACATTCAATTCAATGAATTCAAACACTAAACGCTCGGCATACATAACGAACCTCTTCCTTCCGAATAAGCGGACTTTTGTTGATACTTGGCCTGATTAAGCGAATTGAATAAGGTTTTCCTAATATGATTTGCTTAATTAATTCCTTTCTTGAAGATTTGTTTCTTTATTTCTGAAGCCTTCGTTTGGCTATAATGAAATTGATTATGGTAATATGATTTATAATTGAGCTGTAAAATCTTTGACATTTACAATGGTTTTATATGCTGATAAATTTTTAAGTGATAGAATCTCTACCATATAATGATAATTTTTAGAATTATTATGCACAATACTTTGCAGGCTGATGGTGAAGATGATTTGAAAAAGTTACAACTGTTGGAATTGGCAATCATCAATGGCAGTTACCGTGAGAACACAGTACCTGTACTCACCTCACAACGTTCGTTATCCTTCACTCTTCTTCTTCTTCTTACATTTTTCCATAATGCCCGCACTTTAAAAATATAAAATTCTTTTAATTGTTTCTTTATTATCTTCTTTATGTATTTTCAGTTTGAAAACTTTTTCGTTTTACTTCTGTATATCTTGTCATCATGTATAGGTGGGAATCTTTTTTAAAATATTCGTAACGTAGGAGAATAATTTTGGAGAGTGCGCATTTTTAAATTTTAAGAAATTGATACAACCTTAGATGAATTAGGTTTTCAGCGCAGCAATAGATGATGTTTTGTTTCTGTTTTGTCTCTGACGTTTTTGTATTATACATTTTTTGAGTTAGTATTTCAAATATAGGAGTTGAAAAGGTGATTAGAGTTCATAAATGTAATTAGATTTGAAAAATTTGGAAAGGAATTAGCAAGTCAGATTTGCACAGACATGTAAGAGAAAAGAATTGGGAAAGAAAAGGTAGGTGTTACTCAGTAAAGAGGAGAGCAAACAACGAGTCAGATTAGATCTATTGTTGGAGGTCAATGCAATACAAATGCAATAAAAACTTTTGTTATAAAAAAATGATGCGGATTCTCCTTAAATTTGTGTTAGTTGAGAAGGTAGAAAAAGAAAAGCTGTGGTGATGGCGGTTAGCATGTAAGAAATGACTTCTTCTGAGAACTCCATCACCTTTATATCTTTTTTTATCATTTAATTTACCTAAAAAAATTTTGAGTACATTTTTTCCAAATGTTTGATTTTTGAAATTAATGCTAAGAGATCGCAATTAAAACATTAAAGCATTGTTTATTATTATTGGATATGCAATTATTAAAATTTTTGTAGGTAGAAGTTTGCACATTAATTATTTATTTTGTAAACAGATTTTTTCTTTGTAATATATTTCACTTTGTATGCTTGTAAGATAAATAAAACTAAATAGATAAATAAATAAAACTGCATTTGTTTATCGCAATGGCCTTAAACTTGAATGATGTCTGAGTATCATGGTTATGCAAATTTTATTCACTGAAGTGATTTAATAATTTATCCCTTAATTTTTAGCATAGTTATAAAATTTAGTGAAATCATCAGTGTTTGTAACATTCCCAACTTACACCACCTTGAATTGCGCAGAAGGTTCGAGAATAATTGCAACTCCGATATCAGTATCTCATCAAGTCTTAGGTGCTCCGCTTACTGCCGCTTCTCCAATCTTTCTTGCCCCACGAATTAATGCGCCGCAGTTTTCCGTCACCCCATCGCCCGTCAGTCCCGCCATCATTCAGCAGACGCATGCTTCAAATGCATTGATGAATCCTCAGGGAGACCACCACCATCACCATCCTCTGCAACATTCGCAAGGCATCATATACCAGTACATTCAACCAACTGTCTTCGACTATACAGGGGGCTTTGAAGCAAGTTCAGCCGGTAATTTGATTTCATTTTTTTATCTCTATTTATCGTCATTAATATTAATTAAAACGTATTACTAATAAAAGAAATATTATTAAGCCTCTTGAAAGAATTATTTTTACACTTTGATATTTTTTGACCTCCAAACATGACTTCGGTCACAACAAACAACACCTCAGTTCAGGCACTTACCTGCATCCCAATCAATTTTTGTTCCTAACGTTAAATTTAATTCATTGATCATTGTTACTGTGCATCACTTTTGAGACATGAATCTCACTATGGCTATGATTCTTGCATAAGTACTCAAACAACTACCAACCTAGACAGAAAGTACATTTGCTCCATTATTTCAATTGCGTATATAATTCAATTTTGTTCATTTTTATTTTTTCATCCAACCAATCAGGCAAGATCCAAGTACGAAGGCCGGTGGCCCTGAGGGAACATCCCTACACGCGAACCAGCCACATGTGATGAGAATCTTTTTCTGCAATGCTTTTTATTGTAATTGTTTATTTCATCAAATATCTAATTATCTTTAAGCTCTATCTCGTTATTTCTTTTGTTTTAAATTCTAATAAGGAGCCAGTGCATGGCACAAAAAAGCAACATACTGCAAAGCTTGTTTCATTTCAATTCAATTACTTGAGTTATCAAGGGAATGAGTTAAAATGAACACTAGCAATTACACGGACATTTCATTTATTTAATACAAATATTTTGATTTATTATATTCACTTAGCAGCATTAATGAAATGATGGCATACTAGCATAATTCAAATTTGTTATTCTTCATTAAGATTTCATATCATCTTACTACGATTTGGTTGGCTTTCAATGATTCAAATGAATAAGTGACATGATAATGATTAAAATGACGTCATATTTTAAAGTTTTTCTTTCATTAATCCCACTGTGCACTTAAATTACTTATCTTGCTCAATGAAATTCGTTGTCTTCTTTATTCGTTTGATCATAGTTGCCGTTTCATTTATTCATTTCATCAACTTAATTCACTGTAATGGAATGTTGTTAATTTGAAATGTATAAAGTTTTATTGTAAATTTGAGAGCTTTTTCATGACAAATATTCAAGCGTCAATTACATTTGTAAATATGATATCCGAAAGAGTGCATAAAGAAACAAATAAATTACTTTATGTGCATGCATATATAATATATTTCTTTAATATAAGCAAGGTTTTTGTTCTCATGACAAATTGGACAGTGGAAAGAACTTGTTATGATGAGCTTAGGTGAAAACTTGACGTTATGTGCCTTCCTATCTAATTATCATTGTCCACTTCTGCTGGTTCATATCTTATGAGTTATTTCCTTTTTCCAGTTGGTTTATTTTTTCCGTTCATCATAATTATACGCATGTTGGCATATAATGCAATATAAACTGTTTTTTTTTCAATTTTTTATACAATATATAGCATGTATGTATGTATATATGTATGTTCAGCGTTAGTAAAGATAGGAGCCAATTAAATGTTCCTGGAGGTGTGGGTAAAGAATGATTGATATGGTAAAGTATTGGTGTCACATAAGTAGGATCGGCTTGAAAGTATTCTCCTGTCAGTTTCTTCGCTCAGTAATTTAATTTTCTAATAATAATCGCTGACAAATTTTTATTATTTATGTAAAACAATTAATCTATTTTTAAATGTTATAACAAGTACAGACTTACGAGATATACAGACTTTTATTGTATTCATTTGCATATATGTGGTCTCATTTGTTACTAAATGTATTCAT